ATCCCTTCGTTTATCAGATGAGGAAACGAGGCCTAGCGCCAGGAAGAGATTTTCCAAGACCCTGCAGTGCAGTGGTTGCTCCCTGGTGCCTCTCCGGGCAGAGCTGGCCCCAGGAGTGGGGGGGAAGGGGGCTGTGACGCAGGCTGTGCACCCCATCTTCCCTGTGCTGCCCCCGAGTCCCAGTCCTCCTTAACTGGTAGGCAGGTGGGTGAGACTGGGATGAGAGTCTGGCGAACAAAGGCAGCGGAGCCCCCACCTCAGCCTGGGGTTGGGTTGAGGGACCACGGCCAGTGCTGCCGGACTCCACGGAGAGGCAAGCTTGCCGAGGGTGGGCCGGGGCCTCCCAGACCCTGACCGTTGACCTGGCCGTGCACGGACATCTGCTCTGCAGGTTGCACTTCCCTCAGCTGGCCCTGAGGCGGAGGCTGGGACAGTTGAGCTGTATGTCCAGACCCGCCCTGAAACTGCGCTCCTGGCCCCTGACGGTCCTCTACTACCTCCTGCCCTTCGGTGCCCTCAGACCGCTCAGCCGGGTGGGATGGAGGCCCGTGAGCAGGGTAAGTGCACAGGCTGCTGGCCCGGCTCCCCTCCACACCCAAGGGCGGGCCTAAGGTTGGGATCCCGGACGCAGAATGGAGGAGACAGTTGTTTGATTAGAGCTGATGGTGTGGGTGCTGAGCCCTCAGGATGGGCATTTTGACAGGCAAGCTGGTTGGGAAGGCCAGGCTGGTTGGTGGCCCTGAGGGCTTGCTGTACGCTGCCTCTTCTCCTTGCCTGCATTCGTGCCCTTTGGGGGCTCTGCTTCTGGAAGGAACCCACACTGGGCATTCAGAAAATGTGTCTGATTTCCTGTGTTAGGGCAGAAGAGAGCTCAGAGGTGATTTTGAGAAGAATGCAAATTAATTCCTGGATGCCAGAGGGTGATTCAGGAAGCCTGGTGCCTGTTTGGGCCCCTTAGGGTGTTTCTGGACTTGGTAGCCCCAGGCAGGGCTGGGTGAGGGAGCAACCTGGCCGCAGCCCTGAGGGCTGCCCGGCTCCCTGGCCCTGGGCTCTCTGGGCAGGCTGACCCCAAGCAGGGAACCCTGGGCTCTGATGGGCGTCAGCTAGAAGAGTTTGGGGCGCCACTGACTGAGTACACCGTAGAGGTGTTTAAACTTGGAATGAAATTGCCTTTACACCCTGGGGACTTGGTGTCTGGGTCAGGCTGACAGGCCCCAGCCGCCGGTTAGAGGCAGGTCCTGCTGTGGCGGCAGCACCTGAGGCTTGAGAGGCGTCCCCTTCCAGGTTGCCTGGCCCCGAGAGTTTGGCTGGGGGAGGCCCGGCGGGCGGGCTCACCGCCCAACCACGGGCGGTGACCGTGGTTCAGCGCATCTGGTGTGGGGGTGCCCTCTGCTTCCTGGTCGGACCGGACGCGCGCTTTGGGGCCCCCGGCCCTTTCTGCCGCAGCCTCTCCGTGCAGGTGGCAGAGCCGGGCACGCCCCGCCTTTCCTAAAGAAGGACCGCGCTGGCCGGCCTCTCCTTGGGGACGGTGCGCAAAGTGCGTAGGGACTGACGCCCCTGAGTTGAAGTCACTGTGTCGGTCTCGGCCAGTACTCGGTTTGTGAGAGTGTTTGGGAAGCTCAGTCTGGTTCCTGGTGGGCAGCAACCACATCACAAAGCCGTGGCGGGGTGCCCCGGTCTCTGGGGCCGGGGGTGGGGGGGCGCTGGGGGGCACGCGGGGCCGTCGCGCATCTGCCTGTCTGTGGCCCGCAGGTGGCCCTGTACAAGTCGGTGCCCACGCGCCTGCTGTCGCGGGCCTGGGGCCGCCTCAACCAGGTGGAGCTGCCGCACTGGCTGCGCCGGCCGGTCTACAGCCTGTACATCTGGACGTTCGGCGTGAACATGAAGGAGGCCGCCGTGGAGGACCTGCACCACTACCGCAACCTCAGCGAGTTCTTCCGGCGCAAGCTGAAGCCGCAGGCCCGGCCCGTCTGTGGCTTGCACAGCGTGGTGAGGCCCGGCCCCGCCCCGCCCCCCACGCCTCCCCCCGCCCCCCCCAGAGATGGGATTCTTGCCCCTGCCTTCGACATCCAGGCCCTGCCGTCTCTGCAGGTGGCCCGTGGCTGCCCGTGGGTTCTCCTCCCAGGCTGGGCCCCCGGGGAGGCAGAGAGCCTGCCTCCCTAGTAGCAAGACTTTCTCGGCCCTTCCAGATCAGCCCGTCAGACGGGAAGATCCTGAACTTTGGGCAGGTGAAGAACTGTGAGGTGGAGCAGGTGAAGGGGGTCACCTACTCGCTGGAGTCGTTCCTGGGTCCGCGCACTTCCACGGATGACCTGCCCTTCCCGCCAGGTGGGTCATTGCCTGGTGGCAGCCTTGCGTGGCTGGGCTGGTCCTCACCCAGGAGGACGGGAATGCGTCGGGAGGGAAGGGCCAGCAATTGCTGCGTGGAGCTTTGGGGCCTCCCTGAGGACTCAGGTGCTTGTCTGAGAGCCGGGCCCTCGTGTCTGTCTCCCGCAGCCGCCCCCTGCGGCTCCTTCAGGAACCAGCTGGTCACTCGAGAAGGGAACGAGCTCTACCACTGTGTCATCTACCTGGCCCCCGGGGACTACCACTGCTTCCACTCCCCCACTGACTGGACTGTTTCCCATCGGCGCCATTTCCCAGGTTGGCCCAGAGCCTCACGCCTTTTTTGGTGTCGAGGGACCGAGGCTCCACACTTGGGGTGCTGAGACTGGGAGGTGACTGCTTTAGTCTGGCTGGGTGGGGGCGGCAGGGGGCAGCCTGGGGCCTAGCCCACTCAGCATTTGGAAGGAGATGGGTGGACGTGGGGCTCTGGGAGGCTGGTCTTCTTGCCAGGTGTGGAATGGCAGTGTCCCTGCCCCCGCAGGCTCCCTGATGTCCGTGAACCCCGGCATGGCCCGCTGGATCAAAGAGCTCTTCTGCCACAACGAGCGGGTGGTCCTCACTGGGGACTGGAAACATGGCTTCTTCTCACTGACGGCTGTGGGGGCCACCAACGTGGGCTCCATACGCATCTACTTTGACCGGGTAAGCAGAGCCAGGCCCAAGGGCTGGGCCACTTGGGGTCCCCCCAACCCCTTCTCCCGTGGAGCCAGGTCCGTTGGGACCGTAAGTCTAGAAGGGCATGTCCCCGGCCTGGCCCTGTGGAGCAGCTGTCCCGAGGAGGGGCTGGGCCCTGGGCTCCTGCTCTGCCAGCTCCGGCCCCAGATGTGCTTGCTCATCTGGAGATGGCTGGACAGGGAGGGGGTTCACCTCCCAGCCTGCACTTTGCTTCTGCTGGGAACCCAAGGGGAGTATGGAGCTCAGGGTGGACCATGCTGATTGGAAGCCGAGTGTCTGAGGGGGTACCTAGTGCCCCCCGCTTCCCCGAGAAGTGGGGGGCGGGGCTGCCTTTCCTTGTGTCAGCTTGTGGCTGCCCCTCGCCTGCTCGGGGTGCTGGAGAAGAGTGGGGTCTGATTCCTCTATGTCTTCCCCCCCCCGCCCCCCCGGGTCCCGGTTCACAGCTGCTATTGGGGACCGTTTGGTTAGGCTTATGGGCCGAGTCGCTGTCCCCAGCTCCCTTTCCAGGCTGGGTTGGGGACGGGGGGACAGGCAGCAGAGAGGCGTTCTGGGTCCAGGAGCAGACGCCACACGCTCTGCCCCGGGCCTCCTGCAGGACCTGCACACGAACAGCCCGCGTTACAGCAAGGGCTCCTACAATGACTTCAGCTTCGTGACACACGCCAACAAGGAGGGCATCCCCATGCGCAAGGGCGAGCACCTGGGCGAGTTCAACCTGGGCTCCACCATCGTGCTCATCTTTGAGGCCCCCAAGGACTTCAACTTCAAGCTGAAAGCGGGACAGAAGATCCGGTTCGGAGAGGCTCTGGGCTCCCTCTAGAGCATCCTTCCTGGCGGCTGAGGAAAGCTCCTGAGGGAGCTTTCTAAAGAGAAACGGGAGGGTCTTTTACGGGGAGCCTCCACGGCTGCCTGGGGCGGGGACAGTCTCAGGGCTACGGGGCCCGGCCATGCGGGACCTGGCTGACTAGTTCCTGCCGTTCTGAGGTGTGGGTGAGGTCAGAGCCCCTGTCGGCCCTGGACCTACGTTGTCCCTCTTCCCACCCTCAAGAGAAAGAACAGTTGCAGGCCAAGATGATCTCAAATTCCCTTTTGGAGATTTTTTTAACCTACTGTATAAACTGGAGACCCTACATCTCCTGGCTGGGTGGGTGTTCAGTTGGTCTTGATTTCTGTTGTAAGACAGAACTGGTTATATACGTTCTTGCTGCTCTCATCATTGCTTTTCAGCCTCCCCTCTGCCTCCCCTGCACTGACTGGGCTGTGCTGCCCCCAGAGCAGCGCCATGTGGCCTTTAACACAATGGCTTCCTGTTCCCAATTCACCCCACCCTGCTTGTTTGGGAAAAGCCGTCTCCTTGCACTTGTGGCTGAACACCTCCTCCTTGACTCCGCCAGCATCACACGAGGGGGACTGATGGCATGGCGTTTGACCGGCCCCAGTGAGTGAACTTCCAGAGCTGGCGAGTCCTCTTTCCAGTAGGCAAGACCAATTATTGAACCCCCCCCCCACAATGGTGTCCAGAGTGAATGGACAGGCGGGTAGTGGCGGCCAGGGAGGGCCAGGGGAGAGCTCGTTCCACCCCCCCCCATATCCAGACCCACAGAAACATGGTAAGTTGCTGCTATTGATTGAGGGGTTTGTGTTGGAGGCAGAGGAAGGAGCCTTGGTGTATTGGGAGGGGGGCGGATCAGTGCCTACAACACCTTTCCCCAGGTAACAGGTACACGGTCCTTAGGGAGCCGCGGATGGTGGGGGCCAGGGTTCAGGTTTCCCGGGGACGCTGTGAATTTCTCCTGCAGGAGAAGCCATTTGAACTCTTTCAACTGTATCAGTAGCACAGTATTTTTGTATGAAAAGTGGGAGACTTCTGACCAGTAACTCATTTAATTGCAACATTTTGAAATAAAAAATAAAACTCATTGCAGCTTTGCGTGCTGTTCCTGGAGGTGGGCTGAGGCCTCCCCGGGCCAGTGACTAGCACAGAGCCCGCCGCAGGGCCTGGACGCGCGCGATGCAGGCGCTGACGGGCTGGCGTTGGGCCTGGAGCTCAGAGGCCAGCCGCTGGATCTGCCGCTCCACCTGGGGGATGGGGAGGGGAGGCTGAGTGGAGCCCCAGGGCCGGGAGGGCCAGGGTGGGAAGCCCTTCGAGGTCTGCCTGGGGCCTCACCTCCTGTAGTTCTTCCTGCACCTGCCGCTCTGCTTCCTGGTCCTCCGGCCTGGGCTCCTCGTGGCTCAGCTCCAGCCACCGGCGCAGGCTTCTTGCTTGCCGCTGGCAGGACCTGCCCGAGGGAGACAGCTGCTGCCAACCTGGCTGGGCCCTTGGCTGCGCCTCCAGGTGGGGAAGTAGCGCATCTACTTTGCAGTGGGGGAGAGGGCGATTCTGTTCCGCTGCAGGCCTGCCTCCACCACCCAGCTCCGCAGGCACCGTGGGTGGGCCTCAGGACACCCCCTCCCCACCCCGCCCCAAGGCCCCCGGCAGCCCGCTCCAGAGAAATAGCTGGGGTTTTTCTGGGTCTTACGAGAGGTTCTGCTTCATGGTCTGATAGTCCTGCAGTTGCTGCTGGATGCCCTCCAGCTCAGCCTCCAGGTCCGTGGGGCCCTTGGTGACAGAACAAGCTGGATCTCGACCGCGGTCCTGGCTAGGCCAAGGCTGAATGGAGGGATCCCAGGCATCGGGAGCGGCCCGGGCACCCTTGGTGCTGACAGGCTTCAGCTGCGCACCTGCGCTTGCAGAGCCAGGCCCGCCGGTGCCTGTGAAGTCCCCAGGAAGCAGCAGGCCAGAGTGAGGGACACTGGCTGGGGATGGCGAGGCCTGGGCTGTGAGCCCAGGGATGGTGGGCTGTGCAGACGCCTGTGAAGGAAGGATGGATGAGCACAGAAGCAGGGAGGAAGGCTGGGGGAGAGGCACCCAGGCTGCCCACCGACCAGCTCACCCAGTCCGGGCCTGGCCCTGCCCCTTTCTTCAGACCTGACATGAGAAAGTCCTGTAGGCAGCCCAAGAACACCCCACACCCGTGCAGTCCAGTCCCATCCCTGCCCCAGGGCCTGGCTCGGCACCGGCCCGCTCTGAGCTGGGCCCCTGCACTTCAGCAAGGAAAAGTGGTCCAGGGCAACTGTCCTGGGCAGACCACACATCTACAACCCTCCATTCCCTTCTGGTGACCATGCCCCCTGGTAACCATTGACCAGCTCTCTGTGGACATCAACTCTTGGGGGGGGGGGCCCAACCCTGCCGCTGTTTCCTCTATTACTGAGCACTCGTGCCTTCTTGCACCCCCTTGCCATCTGTGCCCAGACTCCATCTTGCTGTCACATGCCCCGGGGAGCCACTGCCCCCTTCCTCCCAGGAGCCATTCTCTTCGGTTCCCAGGGGTTTACCTTCAACAACTACATTTCAGACTCTCAGTTTTGCTCTCCAGCCCTGACCTCCTCCCCGAAGGCCACACTCAGAATCTTTATCCCAAATTGGACAGGTTCAAGACAGACTCTTCAGGCTTTACCCCAGACAGGCCTCTCCCCCCACCCCCCGTTTTACCTTTTCAGTAGAACTCATTATTCCTGGAGTTATTCAAGCCAGAAACCCAAGAGCCATCCTGGATTCCTTCCTCACCCTTATCAAACCCATCGGCGCAGGTCCTGCCTAGTCTGCCTCCCACGGGGGGCTCTGCCCACAGCCCAGCCACACCTAATCCTGGCTCCCAGCACCTTCTGCTGGCCCATGGGATCACAGCTGCCAACCGGCCCCCACCACTTTCTACTTAAAATCCAGATGCTTCCCCTGGGCCTGCAGGACCCTCCATGATCTGCAGTGTCTTCATCTATGTCCGGGGCTCTTCTTCCGTCTCCACCTCTGGGACATAAGCTTCACAAGCCGGGGCCTCAGCAGCCTCTCCCTACTGTGTCCCGAGAACAGGGGCGCCTACACTTGGTGAAGGCATGAGCGGCCTCCCTGCACCTTCCCGAGCCGGCAGTGCTCTGGAAGCAGCGAGTACCGCTGTGGTTACAGCACCGAGTGCGTGAGGAACAGCACCGAAGGCCAGACCGAAGAATGTGACCCCAGGTGACCAGGAGGACTTACCCTGGCAGGTGCTTGCACCCCACATGGCATGAAGGACGAAGGGGGCAGCAGCTCTGGGCCTGTACTCAACGTGGGGGGCAGCCTCAGGCCAGGGTGACCCGGCAGGGCCCCGGGCTGGGGCAGGGGGCTGCTTGGGACCAGTGCTGTCCAGGCCACTGGCAGGCAAGGCCTCGTCAGGGCAGGGCCTGCGGGCTGGGCCACACCTGGGTCGCACGCCCTCGGTGCCTCAGGCCTAAGCAGAGGGACAGCAGGAGCTGGTCAGGCCACGGCACCCGCCTGAGGAGCAGGAAGGAAAGGAGGCCACCCACCCTAGGACCACACAGCATACCCTTTCCCCCCGAGGGTGCCACACCCCAGGGGCCTCTGGCTCGGCACCGGCTCCAGCAGGAAATGTGGGCGTCGAGGCTGCTTTCTTGCCAAGCGGGCAGCATTGCTGGGAAGAAACACAGGCCTGTTCCTCTCGGCCGCCTGGGGCATCCAGTCTGACCCCCTCCAATCTTACAGGGAAACGGGGGGCCAGAGAAGGAAAGGCCCTGGCCCAAGGTCAGCAGGTGAGCTGGAGTGGGCCTGGGCCACAGAGTACTTCCCGTAATTCCAATGAAGTGAGCCCGATGCCATGGGGATGCCTCGCCCGCCGCATTTCATCTGACCTCTGCAGCCACCCAGTGACACGGATGCTCCCCCCACATCAGAGGGGGAGCGGGCTCGTCGGGGTCAGGCCCTGTCGGGGTCCGGCAGCAAGGGAAGCGGAGCGGACTGAGGCCCAGGCCAGTCCCCCACCCCAGTGGTGACCTCTCCGCCAGGCTCAGGCAGTGCTGGTCACTCTGGGAGCCGACAGCTGCATCAGCCGGCTCTGCGGGGACGAGCCAGGTCACAAACAGCGGGGCCTCCTAGAGGAAGCCCATTTCCTGGCTGGAAGGGGAGAAGCAGGGAGACTGGCAGGTCTGGGGGCATGAGGGTGGGGCTGCCCTACAGCCGATTCCTTTTTTTAAAACTACATGTTCTCTCCCCCACGTGCTGCAGGAAGAGAGGCTGAGGTCCCTTCGGTTGGGCTTGATGGAATGGGAGAGTCAGGGTCCTGCTGGAGAAAGGGGTCCACGCCGCTCAGCTGTGACCCTCCCTCCTTGTGTAGTCCAAGTTTTTGCTCCAAGCAAGAAGCAAGGAGAAGAAGCGAGGGATGGGCTACTCACAGCTCTAGGAGGTGGGGGTCCCCAGCAGCCAGAGACAGGCTGCCCAGAGCTCCTCGGGGCCCATGAGGATCTCGTGGCTTCTTGGTCTCCAGGGCGGCATCCCCAGCCCCAGCCGCGACACAGGTGGAAAGGGGTCTGTCAAATGTCACTCTCCTGCTGGGCATGGTGCACGTGAGGGGCCGAGGCTCCCTGCCCTGGCCCAGAACCTTCTGTTTCCAGAGCATGGCACAGTGATGGACCGCACGGTGGAGACTGTGAGCTGCCTGCAACAGGCCTCTGGTCAGGTCCTGCCGTGACCTACCCACTCCCCGCGAGAAGGGGTGGGGGACCCCTCACCTGCACCTGCTGCTGGGCATGCAGCTGCTGCCGGAAGGCCTTCATGCCGGCTGCGAACCGCAGGAGGTGTGTGGCGCCCTCCTGGAGAAGCTGCCGGTGGTAGGCCTGTACGGCCCGCTCCTGACGCGCCTTCTTTCTCCTCCTTTCCAGCACAAAGCCCAGCCATGCGGCCCACACCTCCAGGGTGAGGAGGAGATGAGGCCCAGTTCTCCCTGCTTAAGCCTCCCCCCCGCCCAGGGCTGTCCCCACGACCCAGCCTGCCGTCCACCGAAGCGAGGTCCTCTCCTGGGAGAGGCAGGGAGAGCAGGGGGGGAGCCCCCGTTACCTTTGCCTGTAGTGAGAAGGACCAGAACCACAGGGCCCGGGCTGTGCCCTGCTGCTCGCGCCTCCTGTTCGCCAGCTATGGGCCGGAGAGAGAAGATCATGGAAGTTTTGCCCTCAGGGAGGCCGCTCTGACCACGGGGTCCTGGTCACTCTGAGACCCTTTTCTAGCAAGGTGCTGCCCTCTCTCCACTGGGAAGGGCCCAGCGCTGCCTGGTCCTGAGGCGGTGGACCAAGGAGTGTGCCTCTGGGAAGAACAGAGGCAGAGCCCCGGGGATGGGAGCCAGCGGGGGCAGCGTGCTGGGCATGATGCAATCCGGCCTGGTGTTTTATCACGTCCTGGGCGAAGACTTAAAATGCGTTCATAATAATTTTTGGATATTACCCTAAAGTATATTTTAATGTGACACTGTAGAAACAGGGCCCTGAAGTGCCTTGGGCTTGTACAGGTCACAGGTGGAAGAAACTGGGCAGTGCTGGGAAATGACCGGGGGGTTGGGGGAGCCCTGGGACGAGGGTGGAATTAAACATTTTAAATGTGGGGGCACCTGGTGGCTCAGTCAGTGGAGCATAAGACTCTTGATCTTGGGGCTGTGAGTTTGGGCCCCATGTTGCGTGTAGAGATTACATAAATAAAAAAAATAAAAAAGTTAAATGTCGGTTCAGGAAGCAGTGGGAGGGGAAGGGGCTTCTCGCTGGCTCCCACCTGTTGTTTCCACTGGCGGAAGCAGGCCCGGCTGCGGGTCTGGGCCAGGAGCTGGGCACCCCGCCTTTGCAGGAGCTGGGGAGAGAGCAGCTAAAAGCAGTCAGGGCCCCGTGTGCCAATCACCTGGGTGCAGCCTCGGCGTGAGAGGCTCCGGGCCCAAGAGAACCGTCCTCCCATCCCCACGAGGAGTCTTGGACGAAGCCAGGGCCTCCTGTACGAGCATCGAGGTGACTCTGGAGGCCCCCCAGCTCTGACCCCCCATGCTTCAGGATGAGCCAGGTTTCTCTACTCGGCCATCTTTTGCCTGGAGGAGACCCGACGCAGAGGCTGGCTTCCCTCAGCCTTCCCAGAAAGGCCCCTGCAGCCTTGTGCCCGCAGGACCCCAGCCACGCAGCATCCTGGCGGTCGTGGGTTTTGCAAGAGAGCCCTCCTCTTCCCCAGGTGGTGGTCTCCTGCCTGGGAGCCGCGCCGCCTGCCTCACCCGCTTCCTGACACAGCCCAGATGGTGCGCCTTCCACCGGGCCACGGCCTGCCGCAGCCGCCACCGGCCGTGATGCGCAGCCGCCCTCCTGAGCTGGGCTCTCTGCTGGGCCGCCCTCTGGCCTCGGTCCCGCCAGCGCCGAAACCACGTCCTGAGACAGCCTAAGGCAGATCCAAGTCAGAGGTCGCTCTTATGGGAGGGTTTCTCCGAATCAGTCTGCAATGGTCAAGGTTCGGAGAGCTGAAAAGGTCATGTGGGGGTAGAGCTGGGCTGTCAGCCCACACTCGGTGAAACAGCCACGTGGGGACGGTGGCCACTCTGTGACATCAGCTCTGGCCACCTTCAGTGGCTGCGAGCACCCCGGGGGCCGGAACCTGGGCTGCTGTGCCCCCAAGGGTGGACCAGAAGCACCAGGCTGTCCACGGTGGCCACGTGTCTGCAGCGCCCCCGCGGAGCGGCCCGCAGGATGCTGCCGGACACGCAGAGGAGGAGACCCTCTGTCCGAGGGAGTGGGGGGCCATGGCCCTATGTGGCCAGGGAGGAAACCAAGGCTCAGGGAGTCCAAGCAGCTCCAGCCAGGCCTGGGAGGAGGCACGCTGTCTGCTGGGCCGTGTCGGATATCCTGAGCTCTGCAGGCAGGCAGAGGCTACGGCATGCGTTTTGTTTCTGTGTCACCAGATTCTCTCTTGAGGGAGAGCAAGCACTTTCTGCTGTTTTCCTTTTAGGTTTTTCCCTTTTCTTAAGCCCTGAGACAAGTTTCTTTTAGAGACAACAAGAGGGTTGGTACCAGGGCACTGATGCCAAGATGGGGTGTCCTCCGGGACCTGCTGGAGGGGGCAGGGAGGGCAGGTTTGCACGCCAGGAGGCGAAGCCTTAGGACCAAGTGCTGATGCTTCCTGGATACTGCTTCAAGTGGGTACCTCTCACTGGATCCTTACAACAACCCTTGGCAGGTACTATTATTCCCATTTTACAGATGGAGAAACTGAGGTTCAGAGAGGCCTTGCTGGGGCCGCACAGCCAGCATCTGACCCTGCCTGTAGGCTCTCTGTTGAATGTGTCTTACGACACGTCGCCCTGAGCTCGTCCTCCTCCAGCACCCACCCCCTCCCCTGGGCTGCCAAGGCGTGCCTGAGACTCGAGGCCTTAACTAAGCCCAGAAAGGGTTCCACAGGTACGGAGCGTGCATCTGCTATGTGCTGAGAACACAGTGTCTTGCCACTGGTCTCGCAAATCCTTTGTACCACCTGTACCGGACACAGCAATCCCAGGGCCCGCCAGCTGCTGCCACCGCCTTCTACGGAAGGCTGCCTGCCCCTCGGTCCTGCAGACAGCAGCAGCTCCAGGCTGCACCCCATGCCTGTCACCTCTAGCACCCGCTGTGGCCACCTGACCCCCCACTGGCAAGGCCTCTGCAGTGCAGGATGCCAAAGCTCTGTCCACACAGGCCACGGAATGGGCTGAACCCCTCAGCTTCTCTCTTGGGAGTGACCTGGAAACATAGCACTGGTTTCTGGGGTGAGGGGCAGCTTGAGGACACAGAGAAGCCCATTAGGGGTGGAGTAAGTGTGGGATGTTTGACCCCACGGTTCTGTCTAAAGGAAAGCAGAGATGGTGTGTTTATCCACATAAAACACTACAGTCAGAACCAAACCTAAGCTGATCATTTTCTGTCCTGAAGCAAACTAACAACTTGATCTGTTTTCCCTATGGTCCGATTTAAACCATTCCTGTTTGTTTTCATTTCCGGTTGTATTTTCATTTATTCTAACCACTGGCTGTCCCCTCATGTCCCTACTGCAGGGCCATGAGTCTCAGTTTCCCTGCATCTCATCTCTGCTCCTGTCTGGACAGTCTTCCCCAGGCTGTTTGTATAGCAGGGAGTCAGGCTGTCCAAGGCCACTGCTCCCTGAACACACAAGGGCCCGCTACACAAGGGGGCGGACACCCCCCAACCTTGACTCCTTCGTAAGAATCAGATATTAAGCCTCGGTCTTACATTTGGACATCAACTGGTTGGCACCTGGCTGGGAAGAGAATGCTGTGATGTGCTGGGTTGAATGGTTACCCCTCCCAAACCCGGAACCTCATCCTGAACCTCAGAACTGTATTCGGCGAGACGGTCAGTGCAATCAGCTGACACCATCCTGGGGGAGGACTGGCGGCCTTCTAAGAGAGACGCAGATGCAGGGAAGACAGCCCTGTGCCCACAGAGGCCAAGGCTGGAGGGATGGGTCTGCAAGCCAAGCAACACCAAGGACTGCCGGGGCTGTCGGGCTGGAAAAGGCAAGGAAGGATTCTCCCCTCCAGCCCTCACAGGAATCATGGCCCTGCCGACACCCTGGTTTCGGACGTGGCCTCAGAACGCCGAGAGAACAATTTTCTGCTGGTGGAAACCTCCCAGTTCGCGGCACTGTTATTTAGCCACAGGAAACTCACACGCGTGAGAAGAATACAAAGACCGAGGTGGAGCAGATGGAACACAAGACAGTTCTGGGTCCTTCACAGCCCTCTCCCTGCCTGCCAGGAAGTCCGCTTACCCTTATCCAGCACCTTCCGGGCCTCCTTGATGGCACAGTCCTCCTGCTGTCGGTAATATATCTGCACAGATGCAGCCTCCCGCCACTGCACCAGGACCTGAGGGGCAGAGGAAGAGCACATCCTGACTTCCCGGGACGCCCAGCTCTGCGGGCGGCTCCTCACGGAACAAGGCCAAGCGGGGACACGGCACTCATACACATTCCGGAAAACGCCGGCCAGCCGCGCAGACCCCAGGCCGCGGACCCAGCCCCCGGTCCCCACAGGAGGCCCAGTACTGCAGGCGATGGACTGTTCTATAGAAGCAGTTAAACTTCCAACCACGCCATCAAGAAGTCAAGGCATCACATGGGCTTTTGTTCTGTTATTACGTGTTAAACGAAGCTATACGTTACACGCCTGCAGCCTTTCAAACTGAGACACACACGAAATCACACCAACAGAACACTTTAAAAAGAAGTCAAGCAGGGCGCCTGGGTGGCTCAGTTGGTTGGGCGACTGCCTTCGGCTCAGGTCATGATCCCGGGGTCCTGGGATCGAGTCCCACATTGGGCTCCCGGCTCAGCGGGGAGCCTGCTTCTCCCTCTGACCCTCTCCTCTCTCATGCTGTTTCTCTCTCACTCGCTCTCCAATAAATAAATAAATAAAATCTTTAAAAAAAAAAAAGAAGTCAAGCAGCCGGGGTTGCTGCTCCCCGGCTCCTGAGGCACAAACTCCATTCCCTGCAAAAAAAAGGCTTCCCTTCCGAGCCCTGAGGCCTAGCAGAGTCCCGACCCTCCTTCCCGGGCTGGCCCCGGAGCTTTTCCGACAACAGACTAGGCTTTGATTTGAAGTCATGGTTCCTCAACCTCGGGAGGCTTCCGGGTTGTCAGGACCAGTCTCCCCCGGCCTTCCAGCAGGAGAACCGCTGCTGTTCAGAGCTCCCGGCATGATGCTTTTTTCTAAAACAGCCCCCGGTGCAGGGACCACTTCTGTCCCTTCATTTCTGAGTCTCCCCTGGTGTGTAACACCCCTTCCTCCCACAGTCGTGTGCTGGCATGCCCCCCCACCCCGCGCATAGGACAGGTGCCACCACGCGGCCTTTGGGGGCCACTTCCCACGGATGATGACCAACAATCTCGTGTTCCTGGAGTGCACGAGCAGGAGTGCGCATCCTCTGACAGATGAAGAGACGGAGGGGCACGCTGACTTAGTTTGTCCCAGTGGGAAATTCCGCATGTGTAGCAAATACTGGTTCTGATAAGAACCAGTCTGCTCACTATGTTTTTGTTTTGATGGATATTAGTGCATAATCCAGTAAAAAAATAAATAAAACCCGACCAGCTCACACGGCTGTTATGTGTGCACGGAGGAGGGTGAGTGAGCCCACGCCCTGGGTTCCTCGTTCAGGCCTAGCTTTGCGGCCACCCCCTCGCAGCAGCAAGGTCCCAAGCCCTCCTGGGCAACCAGCTGGTCTCCGCATGCCTCACCTTGGAACACAAGGTTCGCCGGTAGTGAGCGCTTGCTCGGGAGGTTTGCTGGGCTTCAGTCACAAGGGCCAGGGTGTTCTCTCTCCAGCGACGGAGCACACACCTGCGGGAACACAGGCCGGGAAGATGGGGTGACACTAGTGCGGAGAGACGGGGAGGTTTCTGTGAGTCATTCCTGCTTCTTCAGCCCACTAGGGCCTCAATCGAGGATGGACTCTCGTACCTGAGAACATCAGTCTCACCAAGAGCCATGTGTATGCCGACACAGACAACACACGGCTGGTGAACACCCGCTCTGTGCCAGGCACTGGGGGAGCACCGGGGGCACCACGGTGAACAAGGCCAAATACCACGTCCTCGCTCACGTACGTGACACACAGCGGTGACCAGGTAGTGACGGTAGAGGCAAGTCATGCCGCAGTAGGGCAGAGAGAGGGGAGGTGGCAGAGGGCCACCGCAGGCCCAGCACCATGCTTGCTGCTGAGTTAGTTCCGTCACTCTGTCTTACTCCCAATGTCTGAGGAGCTGGATGGGCACTTCCCCGAAGGAGGGTGGAGGTGCTAAGTCCACAAGGCCCACCACCCACAGGCAGCCTGGAATACCATGTGCTGAACAAATCTGGAGCGGGGGAAAGAGTGGAATGAGGGAGGCCTGCCAGGAAGGAGAGAGTGAGAGCTTGGTTTAGCAGGACCTAGAGGACGGGCTCCTGCTGGAGCTGGAGCTGAGAGCGCGAGCGACCTCCAAGGCTGGGAGAGATGCCTCCGGAATCCGTGAAACGCCTGGAGGGCCAAGCCGGGAGGCACCTGAGTGGGCGCTGAGGCCAAGGGAGTCCCTGCAGCTCTGGAGCGGGAGACACTGAATTGTGCAGGAGACCGCACAGTGTGGAGAGGAGCAGGACAAGGCGGAGCTCGCGCACATGTCTGGGTGACAGCTGCCTCCGCAAGGCCCCAGTCTGCACGCAGCACCTTCCAGACACGCAGTGACCCGATGATCGGAGTGCCTGCTGTGCAAAAGCCCCAGCCAGGCTGCGAGCAGCAGGAGGAGCCTGGCCCGTCCGCCTTCTGGCCCCGGTCGGGACGCCCGGCCCTGCCTGGGTCTGGACGGAGCGCCCCGTTCCTCAGGCAGGGCCCGGAGACGCGGGGGACTCACCGAAGCAGCCGCCTCGCGTGCTGCCTCTCCCTGGCCGCCACCTCCTGGAGGACGCTCCGCACGCGGCTCTGGTACGTCTGCGGGAGAGCGAGAGGACTGGCGGCCGGCCCGGCCCGCGTCCCTCCGCGGTCCCGGGCCCGCCTCACAGGCGCGGGGACGCCCGCCGCGCTCACCTCGGAGCGCGCCGAGTCCCACGGCCAGAAGAGCACCCGGACAACAGGGAGGGGACGCTCGCTAAGTCCTCACTCATAAGTCAAGCCACTGGGCTCCTGCACAAGCGGCCGCTTCGAGGCGGAGGCTGGTGCCCCCAGACTCGTTTTTGCTGTGCCGAGCAAGGATACAGGGGCTTGGTCCCGTGGCCGTGAGACCCGCTGTCCGGGGCACGCGCTCTGGGAGGGGCAGGAGAACAAGGGAGGGACACAAAATCCACCCCCCGCAGCCCCGCCCGAGGCCAGCAGCCGCCCCTACCGCCCAGGTGCGCAGCGCCCCGCGCAGCAAGGTGCGCCGGTGATGCAGGCGGGCGCGCGTCAGCTTCCGCCGCTCAGCAGCGCGCAGGGCCAGGCCCTGCGGACAGAGGGAGGGCCGGGGCCGGGCGGGGCTCAGCCACGCCTCATCTTCCACCGTGGGGTCCTCGCCCCCCACCCCCAGGCCTCAACTAGCAATAGGTATCTCTCAGGGGTTTTGTGGGGTTCCGATGGGGCAAGTGCCTGACTTAGGGTAAATGCTGAAGCATTTTTACCCAGAGGAGAGTGCCTGCGAATGGTTAGGCCAGGACTTTTACGTTCAGTGAGTTCGGCCCAGCCTGTGTCCCAGGCTCAGAGGCAGGTGGCCGGCACCGGGCTGAAGCCAGGCCCACGTGTCTGCTCGGAGACACGCTGACACACAGCCCCACCTGTCCACAACCACGTGCCAAAGCCTTACCTCCTTCCACCTGTCCCAGGCCTGGCGCAGGAGCTGAGCGGCCTGGAACTCTGCAGCCAGCACCAGGCCGGTCTTCCTGCGGGGAGGGTTGGAGTCAGCACGCAGCCTGGACCCGGCCAGGGCCCTTTCCACGGGCACCCCTCACAGTCCCTGGCCCCTGCCTAGCTGCTCTGAATCTGGTGGGGAGGGAGGAATCAAGACCTTTTCTGGGGGCGCCTGGGTGGCTCAGTCGGTTAAGCGTCTGCCTTTGGCTCAAGGTCATGATCCTGGGGTCCCGGAATCCAGCCCTGGGTCGGGCTCCCTGCTTAGCTGGGGAGTCTGCGTCTCCCTCCCCCTCTGCCCCTGCTTGTGTGCTCACTCTCTCAAATAAATAAATAAAATCTTAAAAACAACAACAACAACAACAACAAAACCTCCTCTGAAGAGCTGCCAAAGGATTTGGGCTCTCCCCTCAGGAAAGTGAGCACCTAATTCAATTCTTGCAGCCAACCTGAGAGGGCTCAAGTACACTGAAGTACATTCATGTGCTGGCGACTCAGGAGATTAAAGGTGGCCAGAATTTGCGAGTGGGGGAGATCCGCACAGCACACAGTGGATGCAGAAAGGCATGAAAGCAGGCCCGGGTCTGCAGTGTCCGTGTGGGCGGCCTGCCCCGCCCTCTCTCCAACCACATGGTGGCAAAAACTGCCACAACCTGCCCCTGGGCCACAGCTGCTGGTCCCGGGGGCTCAGCAATCCTGTACACGAGCTCATCAGTCTATCCCCTGGCCATGGTCCCTCTGAATGGGACCCAGTGAGTGGGATGCATCCAATGGGTAGGACCTCAGATCCATGGAGCATGTCTGTCCCTAGTCGAGTTCCTGAGATCCTCTCACTACAGCCCTGCTTTGTTACAGACTGTATTAGGCAGAATTTCTGGAACTTAGAACCAGAGTCTAGGCTAACACGACCCTCCGACGGGCACTCAGAGCTGAGGGTGCTACCACTATGGTCAAAGCTGGCCCAAGAGGGGAAGAGCTTCTGGGGCAGAAGCAGCCCCTCACTCTGTCCTGAGGCCTCGGGCACTGTCCCTCCAGATGCAGAAAGCCCTCCTGAGCTGGCAGTGGCGGCGGTGGGCCCAGGCCGCTGCTGTCCACTGTCGCTCCCGGTAACGTGCTGCTGCCTGCTGGTGCCACGTGGACCAGGACCTCTGCAGGAGCTGCCGCTCTGAGTGAAGGATGGCCTGGGGCAGGATGGTGGGAAGAGAACAGAGTGGGTCAAGCAGCTGGGGGTACAGAAGCCGGGAAGAATCTCTGGCCACAAACACTGACCAAGGCAAAAGAAATGGGCATTATGGAGCCGCCCTCGCCCAGAAGCCATATGTAAACTCCACTGACAAAGGTAACAGATGCCCCAGGCCCTGCCCTGCATCTTGAGTCCTGGTCACAGGCAGGACGCCCCACAGTGTGGGTCTGGGCTCTGGGCGACGTCCCGAGCAGAGGCGGCAGTGAGTGCAAAGCTTGAAGCAGGTCCTGCCCGTTCCAAGCACCTCCTCAGGGACGGCCACTTACCATTCTCTCCGCCAAGCGGTTTTCTCGATGCTGAAACATTTTCTGCCACCAAATAGCAAATACTTGCTTCTCCAACGTCTCCCTAAAAAGATAAATAATAATAATGATAATAATGGGAAACAAGGCACTTAAAATAAAACAAAATCACTACAAAAAAGAATAAGAAGTCCCAAATATTTGGGTTTTTCCTCTTAGGCTATTAAGAGGTGGATATGTTGAGATGGGGAGAAAGGAAAGAGAAAGGGAAGGAAAGCAGACAGCAGTGGGCAAAAAACCCCACAAACAACCCAATACTCTTCAAGTTCTTTCCGGTGTCAGCCAAGCATTCACACAGTAAGAATGAGACTGACTTCGAGACCCTGGCTCTTCATCAGTTCAGTTCCGCACCGAATTACCAAGAGTGCTCAATGATCAGTAGTGAAAGCCTTTCTAGTCCGTGCTGACCGGCCAGGCTGCTGCTACCCAAATCCTTGGGGGGAGCGGTTAAAAACAGAGGCCACGTCTTCAGGGCTGACTGCGCAGGTCTGAAGTGGGCCCCAGGAAACAGTATTTAAAACAAGTGTTCCATGTGAGGTAGACAGGGAGACAGGTTTGAGAACCACTGTTCTGTCTCCTCTGCCTAGGCCTCCCTGCTCAGCATGATGACGGGAAGGCCTGCAAAGGCAGCGCTGGGACAACTGGTCAACAGCCACTAGGGGCTGTGAGTTGGCAAAACCACGGGACAAAATATATGCGGCAACTGTTTTCAGGCCCTGGACAAGAGGCAACACAGACTGTGACCCTCAGAGTTGAGAAACAAGTACGGTGAGCCCACTGAGGGCACGTGCTAAACACCCAGGGCAGGGGGACGGAGTCCAAGCAGAGCAGGACAGTCTCACTGAGTTGAGGCAGAGACTCAGGGATTCAAGACTGAGTCCTTCCCCTGAGTTCAAGACTGCAGGGGAAGGATGTATGGACACCTGTGGCCTTCCTGAACCTGGGCAGGTAGAGACCTCGCCCTGCCTCAGAGACATGCTCACATACACCTTGCACACTCTGCAAGGGCAGCACCCAAAATCCCGTGTCAGCCTGGTTGGCAGTACAAGCAGGCTCCGTGAGGCCTAGCAGAGTGGCCTCTTCAGGGCTGGCTGCTGGATGGAGATTACCAGAGGCTGGAAAGGGCTGGGAGATGGAGTTCTGGCCCAGTCTGAATGGAGAGACTTTGCTGAGAACCCCAGAATTCAGCAAGGCTGAGCCTCAGGAATAAGTGCCATGCCCTAACTCTGAAGACAAAAATCAAAAAAGACCCACACATGGAGTGCCCGGTAGAGCATGCACCCCATCTCAAGGTGCAACTCTTGATCTCAGTGTTGTAAGTTCAAGCACCACACTGGGTGTAGAGATTATTTAAAAAATAAAATCTTAGGGGCACCTGGGTGGCTCAGTCGGTTAAGCATCTGCCTTTGGCTTGGGTCATGACCTCGGAGTCCCGGGATTGAGCCCTGCATGGGACTCCCTGATCAGCGGGGAGTCTGCTGCTCCCTCTGCCTCTCACCCCACTTGTGCTCTCTCTCTCATTCTCTCTCAATAAATAATCTCAAAAAAAAAATTAAATCTTAAAACACACACACACACAAAACCCACACAAAGGAAGAATAGAACCATACTCGATAGGATCAACAGGAATCACCAGAATAAACAGCAACCACTGCCTTACAGAATAAAATGCAAAACCCTTTAAAGGAAAAACAGCTGTCAACAAAAACAATGACCCAAATGCTGGAATCAGCAAACACTTAAAAACAGTTATTAAAGTTTGTGTACTTAAGTGAAAGATTAACAAAATTAGTTACCAGACACGGAATCCTGGCAGAGAAATAGAAACTATAAAAAAGAACCAAATGATTTGGTGGCTCCTCAAAAAGCAAACATAGAATTAGCATTTGATTCAGTAATTCCACTTCTAGGTATACAACCAAAAGAATTAAAAGCAGAGACTCAAGCAGATGTATTTACATTGATGATGTTCACAGCAGCATTACTCACAGTAGCTAAAAGGTAGAAACAAGTGTCCATCAACATACAGATGAACAAATTGTGTATATCCATACAATGAAATATTATTCAGCCATAAAAAGGAATGAAATTCTGATACATGCTATGACATGGATAAACTTTGAAAACATTACGCTAAGTAAAATAAGCCAGGCACAAAAGGTCCAATATTACACAATTCCACATATATGAGATATCCAGAATAGGCAAATTCACAGACAGAAAGTAGCTCAGAGGTTCCCAGGGCTGGAAATAGATGGAAATGGAAAGTTAGTATTTAATGGATACAGAATTTGTTTGGGATGATGGAAAAGTTCTGGAAATGCATAGTGATACTTTATGCCACTGAACACACAATACACTTAAAAATGACTAAAATGGTAAGTTTTATGTTATGTATGTTTTACCACAATTGGGGAAAAAAAAAAAAAGAAAATTCTAGAACTGAAAAGCACCATACCTGAAGGAGAAAAATCACTGGATGAGTTACAAATAAGAAACTGAAGGATATAGATCACTGAAGACTTTCTATTGAAAGATCAATAGAAAGTATCCAATCTGAAAAACGGAAAGAAAAATAGAAAAAAACTAAACAAAGCCTCAGTGACCTCTGGGACAATATCACTGGTTTAACATAGTGTAATTAGAGTCTAAGAAGGAGAGAAGAGAGGATATAGGGCAGATAAGTTGTTTTTGAGAGAGAGAAAGCGCGCGCATGCGTGTGCATGGGGGAGCGCAGATGAAGGGAGTCAGAGACAATCTTAAGCAGGCTCCATGTCCAGCATGGAGCCCGATATGACTCTGAGATCATGACCTGAGCCAAAATCAAGAGTAGGACACTTAACCAATTGAGCCACCCAGGCACCCCAGGGCAGATAAATTATTTAAAGAGATAATAACGGGGTGCCTGGGTGGCTCAGTAGGTTAAGCAGCTGCCTTCGGCTCAGGTCATGATCCCGGGGTCCTGGGATCAAGCCCCATGTCGGGCTCCTTCCTCAGCAGGGAGCCTGCTTCTCCCTCTCCCTCTGCCGCTCCCCCTGCTTGTGTGCACTTTCTCTCTCTCTTTCCCTCTCTGTCAAATAAATGTTTAAAAATAAGATAAAATAAAAATTAAAAAATACAAAATACAAAAGGTATAGAGTTAAAAAGTCAGTGGAGGATATGAAATGTAATACTAAAAAATTCTAAGTGAACAGGGCAGAAAAGGAGAAAGAGAGAAACAAAAATCAGATGTAGGCTTCTGCCCAACCACACCAACAACTACATTAAATATAAATGAACCACACACTCTAATTCAAAAGCAGAGATTATCAGGAATGCCTGGGTGGCGCAGTCAGTTGAGCATCTAACTCAGATTTGGCTTGGGTTGTGATCTTGGGTGTCGTGGGATCAGGCCCCGAGCTGGGTTCCACACTTGGTGTGGAGACTGCCTGGGAGACTCTCTCTCCCTCTCTCTCTCCCCCTTCCAACTCCTTCACGCTCACTTGCTCACTCTCTGTCTCTCAAATAAATCTTTAAAAAAAAAAGTAGAGATTGTCAGACTAGATAAAAAATTAAGACATAGCTATATGCTGTTTATAGGAGGCAAGCTTTATTAAATATGAAGACAAATAGAATGGGAAAGGTAAACCACATAAACTGTAAATACAGAAAAAGCTGGTGAGGATATTTTAATAAAAGTCAAAGTAGACTTTGAGAAACGAAATATTACCAAAAATAAGGAGGTTCATTTCAAAATGATAAAAAGGGACCATTCATGAGGAAAACATAACAATCCTAACTGTACACGGACCAAATAACAGATTCCAAACACATGAAGTAAAACCGATAGTATTACCAGGAAAAATAGATAAATCCATAATCATAGCTAGAGAATTTTAATACTTCTCTCTAGTAATTGATAGAACAAGCCCGCCTGTAAGGGGGGGGTGCCTGGGTGGCTCAGTCGGTTGAGCATCTGCCTTCAGCTCAGGTCATGATCCTGGGGTCCTGGGACTGAGCCCCACATTGGGCTCCCTGCTCAGTGGGGAGCCTGCTTCCCCCTCTCCCCATCCCCCACCCCCTGCTTGCTCTCTCTCTTGCTATCTCTCTCTCAAATAAATAAAGAAAGAGAGAAAATCTTTAAAAAACACACCTTGTCTGAGGAAAGCATCCACATCCTAGAGACTGACTGGAAAGCCAGGGCTTTGAGTGAACACACTAACCTCTGCCTCTACATTTCTCTTCCTGCCTGCTCCTACCTATACGTCTTGGGCCTGAGCCATGGCCTCCAGCCCAGCCATCCCACCTACAGACTGGCTGCCACCCACCGCCCATGTCCTTCTAGCCTGTCCATTTCTCCTGCCTAATGGAGTTTTGTGCAATTCGGAGTTTTTCCACGAACTGATCCTTGTATTGAAAGAGCCTTTAGGAGATTTATGTTAGAAACCAAGGACCTCCCTTCAGCTCTGAACAGGTTTTTCCTTCGATCCCAACACAAAGATTTATGGACCTTTCTAGTTGACTCAGATTTGTGGATGGCATCTCCCCCTTTCCTATTCTACATTCTTAGTCCTATGTTAGCTTTACATCTCAAATGGTGAAATGTAATCAGTCCAATAAAACATGAAATAACCATGAAAAAAACAACAATAACAACAAAAACCTGTAAAGATACAGAAAATTTGAAGATGACTACCAACCAACTTGTCCTAAAAGACATTTATAGAACACTATATCCAACAACTGTAGTATAAATATTCTTTTAAAGTGCACATGGGAAAAAATAAAGTGCACATGGAAGGTTCACCAAAATAGACCACATATATTCGGCTGTAAAACAAGTCAACACATTTCAAAAACTGAAGTTATATAGGTGTTTTCTAGCCACAATGGAATTAAATTAGTAATTAAAAACAATAATGTATCAAGAAAATTCCTATTTGAACATCAAATAACATATTTCTAAATAAACCACAGGTCAAGGAAGAAGTCACAAGGCAAATTAGAATATATTTTTAGTTGAATGATAATAAAAATACAGCATGTCAGAATTTGTGAGATAAAGCT